GAGGGGGAGGAGGGGGGAGGGGGAAGGGAGGGGAATGAGGAAGACAAATACGATACGTTGACCTAGGGAATTTGAATTTTTACAGCCATGAGGAGGGCGGGGGGATTAGAAAAAAATGTATAATTATAAAAAAAAGGTACAAAAAAAATGGGAATGTAATTTCTATTTACACTGAAAATGATGAGTGCTTGAGAAGGCATTGAAAATCTGTGAAAATTCGTGATCGGACGTACCACTTCTTTTGCAAACTGCGAAAATACTCGACAGTGATGTGATTACATCCTAATTTCTCGCGTCAAAAAAAAAAGGCAAACCACAAATCGATTTACTTGTGTTACCTTTCGTCTCTGCTGAAGTGTAAGTCTCGGGTATTTGCGTTGGCCCCCTAATATGTTTGATGAGCCAGCTTAAAACGTATTAAGAAAACTGTTTCATTGATCATTGTTATAGGGATCACTTTGTAATACAGAAGTGGAAGACAGTCAGAAAAAGAAAAAATTGTCGCGCAAACAGCGATATCGGATAAAAAAACGAGAACAGCGGGCGAACGAGCGAAATGAGTTGCTGCTGAACGCAAAAGGTATCACAATTGCCAGGACCATTCGGGTAATCAGCGTGAAAAACCCATCTTAGTAATATTGGCGGATTGATCGCGCACACTCATGCCAGGCTGTTCAGTTCTTAGCTTCAGTTTAGTTGCCTGCACCTTTGATGTACACACGCCGCTTCTTCGGAAGTCGTTCAAGTATCATATATTTCCTTGCGGACCCCTTTCACCAGTACGCCAGGTTCACCAAGCGGTATAACTTATTTTTATTTGTAACAGAAAATTAACTTTTACTTTTTACTATTTCTGTACTATTCAGTACTGTTCCTTATATTTTTTTAATGTAAGACCTATCACAACAGTGCTGGGCAGGCAACCTCATTGCTGCAGTATCGAGGGTTCCACGTCGCTAGGTTGGGCAGCTTTACTGTAGCAGCTGATTTGTGCATGTGAGGAGCAACTGACTTCGAATATCATTTAGAACACGTACCATTTGGAAGTCACTACGATGCGCCGCCACAATTTTCCGGTGCCGTTCGCCAGCAGCTGGAGCAGGGTTTTGCAAAGGTACCAATATGCTTTGATGTGTGTATTTATTCTGTGGGGATGAAACGAGCAAAAGACACGGAGACGTCCAAGTAATATCACAGACATGGGATTCGTACACAAACTGCCCGGCAATTCTTGACATTTTTATGCGTTTTGTGCTGTGTAACAGCAGTACAAAACGCATATTGTTACGGGTTTGTCTGT